AGCTGGATATACTTACAAAATTGCAAATTTTGAACGATAGACATCATCTTGCTGATTACTTCGGCAAAGATACAGAGAAGCTTCATACTTGAGCAGTTGATAGAGTGATAGTGATGATCTTGCGTGATACGTGTATTGGTATTGGTAATACGTAAATAAAAATGATATTCGCCACTGCTACTGAACGTTTAGTCGCTTGTTTCGTTAGGTATTTACGAATATTTTAATTCTGCCACCACAATCACTTACGCTCAAACATTACTACTGCTTCAAGTATGCTCACAATTTTTTGGACGTGTCAACTTCTGTGGGATTGTTTGTGAGGTTATCAGCCACGAGAAGGACGCTCTAAGCTTGTAAATGATAAATTCGAATGTTCCCTCTTTGTATTTGCAAAAAAATCCTCGCGATCACGACCTTTGTACCGAAGCTGTCCCTCCTTTATCAGAGGAAGACTTTTAGACTCGTAAAGTCTCTTTGCGTCTAAAACGAAACATGCATAAATTAAAAGGATCTTTAGTTGTCACAGACTTAATGAGATTTAACTCTGGATATTTGAACAGCCTCGCAAGCTTCTTTTCCTGTGTCAGGGAACTAATTACCTAAAATAATTGCGTGGCACTAATGACCAAGAGTACTAGCATCAATACATGCTTTCAACTCTTATCATAGACGTTTTTATAGACAAGTTAATAAAACAATCAAAAGGGGGAAATGTTTATTCATGGCGATAATAGAACCTCATTTAAATGCATTGCATTTGATCTGCACCTAATACATATAATCTAGGTGAATTAATTTAGGTCCATCCGGTGTTACCATACCGTAACAACGCCGTCCTTTTGTCACCTTTTGCGATTGATAGTATCTAATGTGATCGATAAGGTAAGGTACTACCGCTTATCGTACTGAGCTCGATAATACGCCTATCAGTTTCATCGATCTCTTCGTGTTTAAATCACACGACACCGTACCGGTTATACCAACAGTTTTTGGACCCGTTGCAACCTCTCCTCTCACTGAAGATTTGGTTTTATGGCGTTAAGGCTATATATATTTGACGCTTCCTAAAAGAAATGATGGCACTTTTCGTCGGCGACCTTCACTTCAACTACTGCGTATGTTCTCTTTAATCAGTAAATAACAAATGCACCTGATTCGTTCAGCCGTTATATCTTACAGTCTGTCCAAAAATAGACCATGGTGGTGGTCGAATTGAACACGTGTGGACGGACTCGAGAGTTACACTTACACTACCCGCTTTGGCTCACATTTTTCCAGGCAACAACCTACTGTGAGTTCTTCTACCCCGGCGGTGCGCAATTTAATTAGGGAATAGCTATCCACACCACATTTTTGCTATCCACTAGAGATATAAATTAAGCGCCCACACACCTGCTCCCACGCCTACGACCATCCGCTCCCATTTTTATAGTCATGGGTGCGACGGACAATTTGTGGGTGGGCGTGGATTGGCGCGACGTCGCAAGGATGATTTGTTCTAGCACTACAATTTTTCATGTCTATTATAAACGGTATAAGAGGCTTATTTGTGCAACATAAAAGTGGTGAACAACTGAATAAAAAAATAAGGGTGGGCGTGGGTGGGTGTGCTGAATCTAAATTAAGGAGTCGGTGGGAGTGGGTAGGCAGAGCCCACCCAGGCCTAAAGTTTTAGCCTATGGTGGATGCCGTAAGATCCGGCTTTTTACACTGATCGGCTATCTGATTTTTCGATCTTTGCTCTAAGTAGACTTTCACGAGCCCGAAGGGTGAAGCAATTAGTGACTGCGCGCAAGGTGAATACCGAACTTTTTGAGTCGTGCTTACCTTGCGTGTGTCTGTGTGCCTGCGGGTCTATCTGTATTTAACGAGGTCAGTTGTACCTTAAGCGTACTACATGCACTCCAGCCTGTACTCCTTCATAGCTATTTAGACATATCTGAAGTCACTATTTAGCTAAATCACTATTGTGGCGCAGCTTGTTAATGGCTTAGTTTCGATCGAAGGTGAATTAAATCACACGAGCAAATGCTAGTCGATCATACAATGCTGATCGCGTTGCTAAAATTTACCATACAAATTTTGCAAAGACATGCGCAGCATCTAACTCATTTTTCGTGACTACTTGTACAGTGTTTTGCAACTTGGTTCAAACAACAGTTTAAACAACGAAACCAAGTTGCAAAACACTTGAACATCGTTATGCAACTTGGTTCGATTGTTCAAACTGATTTACTTATAATAAAGGCGAGCTCCAGATCTTGCTCCTCTACCTTGCTTTGTGGTGTCATAGCATGGCAATAAACGAAATTTGCTAAGATGCAGTTAATGCTGCCACAACCAATGGTGTAGGCTATGACACCATTCGGAATAATTTCTATGGTTTCGACAGGCTTCTCATACTCACAAAATCTGCAACATTGCAGTTGCGCTCGTGATTGTGTTCGGTGCATTTATTCTTTATTTCCGACAGCGTTCACCTCGCCCTCATGTACAATTATGCATCATGATTAAAGAAGCTGATGATTCTTGTGTTGTGAACACCGTGACCTTCCGCCACATGCTATTCTACAAGGATGCAACCAAGCCACATTTTTATGCTTCGACCTATCTACTTAGCTTTGAAACGACCCAACGCAAAAAAAATATTACCATCGATGTAGCGGGGCACCTTTAGCTTGGGTGCAACGAAATTTCACGTACACTCGTACGTGCAGAGAAAGTAATCGACTTAAACTGCTAGTTTAAGTAAAGGTGAAAGGAGAACTGTATTTAATATAGTCAAGCTATCAAAATAACTTTAGTCTTCACCTAATTATATTAAACTATATTGTCGTATGACGAAAAACCCTGCTCACCACTCATTACACGCGTCTAGCAGCGATTAATGGTTATCTTGGTTGATGTGTCTTTGTCAACCAATCTTCGAACAGCACGTGAATATTATCCTAATGAATAGTATCCCTTCAAGATTACCTATCTCAGGTAATATTGGCAGAAGATTGTCACGCTGGACAATTTCCCCCCATTGACACCGTTTGGTGTCAATATCGTTCAATAGGCTACCCCGTTACAATAGCAGTTTTCTATACAGCGATCTGTTCATCAGCAGAGTAATGCACACATCCTCCAGAGCAAGTGCTGGAAAAATACATCAATATAAAAAGTTCACCAAGGTACGAGGTCAATCTTTAAGGGCTTTGTGATTGCGTGTTGGGATGGAGCATACCGGTTTAGTCAAGGCTTGTATAATGCGTCGTAACACTAAAAAAAGTTAATGAGTGCTTGTTATACATTGGCTAACCACCGATGGGTACTTTATAAATACCGGTTTAAGGGGGGGGGTAGATAGCAAAAAGTGGGTGCACTGATAACCTTTTATTTTAGTAACTGACTTCAGCTTTTTTATTTTAATCACGAAGCTCATGCTGCCGACTTTTAGCCTCGATTTGTTCAATGGCGACCGTCCGGTTTTTCTCCATAGCGAGTTTTGCATGCCCTTGGCATTTCTTGCTTGTATTCACCGGCACCGCAGAACATCTTTTAGGACAGCTCGTGTCTGCTGAAAAACAGTCGTCAGCAAAATTGCATTTCTGTTTGTGCTAAAAGCGCGTTATGAGCATTTTGGCTAAACAGATTGAAAAAGCCGAGCAGAATTGTCAAAATCTAGTGGACATTATAACTGGAAGGGCCATTAGCTGCTGTTGCCGACATGAAAGACGAGGCGGCAAGAGAAAATCTGAATTCACGAACCGCTTCTAAGCTGTAATCGTAATGATTTGTGATCCTTCGTACTCTGCAAGGGCAGCTGCAGGTGCTAAATGTTGCATTCTTACAGGGTTTTGTTGAATCGTTTAAGGCTTCATCGACCACATCATTTGCACCATCGCTACTGCGTGACTGTCTGTGCTTCGTGGCATTTCGGCCATTTATACCGATCAAGTCGAGCATGTGACCCGAGTAGGAATATGGCTACGCGGTCTTTGCGCGATCATGGTGCCATGTGATCTCGAAGATCAAGCAGACTTCGTGTGCAACGGGGGTCACACGACCGTTACCTCCCTAAAGACGTATACATTGTATACGTAATATACTATCCCATGTTTCATCTGTGATGATTGATGTGGTCGATAACCTCAGTCGTCCATTGATGAAAGATTGATGTACGATCCATCAGTCTTTACTATACTGAAAATTACCACACGAATTAGTCTAATCTTAGTATTTCGTAGTCGAATGAGGTTTATTACAAAATAAACTAAGGAATGAAAGTTCAGTTCCTCTTTTGATCTTCGACTTGCACGTGTCGAGTGACTTCGGTAGACCTTTTTTAAAGTTAGAGCCAGCTTATGGCGTATATTCTAGAGGAAACTGTGCGTACGATTTTTTTAACGTTGTTTGTCCCTTGAACCAGGACTATGAACTCTTTGAGCGTGAAGACTGTGCGATATTTTTTAAAATTGTCATTCTAGATACTCTTTAGACTTTTAGGAACTGAGATGAACTACGTGACTTGAAGAGTCGTGAGTAATCCCCTGATTGAGAGTTGTGTAGCTCCACTACCATCGTGCTCACTCTCTCACGGCAGCAAAAGCTACAAACGCCTGACACATAACAAAGAGTGACGTTTACCTCATGCTTTTACCGTGCCGATTTTGCCACAGTTCAGGCGCAAGTAGAACCGATTTTGACCAAGTATTTCTATTTGACTTGTTTTGCATTTCCGAAGCGTACAAAGATTATCTGTAGCAAATGAGGATTATGGGAAAGAGAACGCACAAATCTCGACTTCCCCAGGAGCTCCAACCTCCACTTAAAAGAGAGGGTGTTAACACGCACAGCCTGGTGAGGGACTCCCACTTGTCGTCAAAAGATCCTCTCGACGCTCCATCGATCACATCCATGCTAGGACGATGATGTACTGGCTCGGTTGACAGAACGTGCACAGGTTAATGTAGACCAGCTCACCCCGGTTTTCTGTTAGAGCTTCAAAACATTTAGTTGTAGTGAGTGACCACGCGGCCATTCAGAGGCTGCACCGGGCGAGCGTTGTCACCGTCGTCAGTGACGTGGTACTCAACCAAGTCCTGGTGAAGGCGACCAAAGTCGATCGAAGAGATCTTGATCGGGTTTTGCACCACCCACCAGTCAGCATTCTCTTCGCAACCCGGGGTAGTAAGACTGCCTGTGTAGTTGTAGATGCCACCAACCGATGCAGCCTTCCGCACCATCGTCGAATAGGATTTCCTGTGCATCAGAGAGTAAATAACATTAGAACAACGCTATGGTACCCCCCCCCCCGCGTCTCATATTGTTACGTACAGATTCACCACAATTGCCTCGGATCGGGCAGTGGAATTAACCAGCTCCAGAGCGTCCAAGACATGGCCCAACCAACTGTCCGTTTTCGGGCCAATCTTAATGAAGATGCCCACCACCAGAAGTGCCTTGCCTCGACCGGACACGTGCACAAAGTGGATTTCGTCATCGAGCTGTTTCCTGTTCAAGGTGTGCTCCGCAGGAGCATGCAGGTGAAACTGCGCCAGCTTGAAATTCTTGTTGTTCAACGAAACAGTACAGTTGCCTAAATACAAATTCACTCACGTTAGAACCGAGCACAATGGCCCCGACCAGATTCATCGCCATGAGTAAAAGAAAAAAAGCGACTGTCGCACCTCCCGCAACGTCCACCTCAAGCGGTTCGTGGGGCTCAGTCAGATTAAACCGGCCACAGCGTCCACTAAATTTAAGCGGAAGCTTCTTGCCCTTTCCTGACTTAGCGCTCGTGACGATGTTGATGGGAGACTGACGGGCACCACCGCATGCCGCCCAGTTGGTGTTCCAGTTGGAGGTATGCACCATGCTCTTGTCACGAGCACGGTATCCCCAAACGGGACTTGTGGGAGCTTTGGCGGAAACAGTGAGAGCGCAAACCGCGAGGGCAGCTGAGATAGAGGCGATGAGCTTCATGATGTGAAACGAAGTCAAGTACCAAGGTCTAAAAGACAGCGGAACGAAGTGTTGTGTTTAAAGCAAGTTAGGGAATGGAACCTTGAAAGTTGGTCGGCTTCATTGCGGCATGACGCGACGAGATCGAAGAGCTAATCTGGGATGGCATAAGATGTTGGCTGAACAGTATCATGTGGATTGCAAAACAGTCAAATGATGGTACTCATTACCACACACATGTCTACGGGTTTGGAGCGCTGAATAGCTCTTTGCAGCAAAATGATCGTTAGAGAAGAAAAAAGATTGCCATGAATAGAGCAAACGGGTCCGACCGTGCTATACCATTGACGTCGCATCCAAGATGTGTGTCCGACAGGTGTCTGCATAGGGATCTCACTGGACATCACTGCTTCCCGATCTGCCAGACCGGGCTCGCTACTGTGCGCTACACTATTTCGCCGTTTATCGTGGCGAATTAAGCAGGTGGCGAGTGCCAACTAGTGTCAGTTGTCCCATTGCATCGATAGTGAAAGTCGAGCTGTACACGCTGTGTTCAAAGCGAAAAGCGTAGCGCAGATAAACCCCGGTGTGGACAAGTATCGACCTGACGGAGCCGCAGCTTTGCGATCAAGGACCGATGAACGGCTGTCAAGAGATCTACTCACAGTGCAAACGCCGCTGGATGGCCTACTTACAAAGAACGTAATTACCTCTCGCAATCCTATGGTTGAGGTACTGACCGGCGGCTGCCTCCGCTGCAGTGGGAGTTCATTCGCGTCGCCAGCAAGAACATGTATTACTGACGCAGATCATGTAGCTCAATAGCATTTCGTCGCCTTTTCCAGGCATTTTGCTGTCTGATGGTAAGTAAGTTGAAGCAGGTGATGTTTCACCTGAAAGAATTAACAATCTTTCGGTGGCAAAGCTGTATTTCCATCCCAACATGACTGTTGGATTTGCAAGATTTCGCGACCGGACGATTGTAAGACGACTTTTCAATCCGTGCGGTCGTCTAAGACGCTTCTTACACATCGAAGCGCTTACATTGGCCGGTATGTGGTATTAGCAGCAATGTTCTCCACCACGACTAAGTGTATTTATAGCTGGGTCGTTGCATTGTATCACCAGCCTCTATGGCGCTACCGTTGATCGACGTCGCTGTGATTGGAATGAAAGGATTGGAAGGCGATGCCCCCGATGAAATAGACACCCAAGTGACCAAACACCAATACAGTACTAAGACCCATATCATGAACGATATCGATCTGAGGACCTCCCACACGAAGTGATTCACCACGTCATCTTTCTCGCATTTGTTACGCACGATAGATTGATCACGTTTGTATGAGCTTAGACGGGACAAGATGCTGCTACTACATTGTACGAATCCAGTCGTTTTTTGTATCCTGGATCGTCGAGTGGTAAAACACTGATCTCAATATTCGTGAGAGCCCAGAGTGATAGATTTTCTTGTATGCCCATGCACATTTTTATCGTCTAGCAATGGTACGATACACAATTACAGGAGCGCGATCATATCACGATCAGTTTGTTCTAATACAGTATAGCTGGCGACACCTCTGATGTACTCGATAAGGCGATGTTGCAGTAGCATGTCGTCTTCCCCTTTACTTTTAGACGTCTATTCTCTTAATGTCACACATCGCTGCATCGCTCACGTATGTCCTTTCATCTGCAGAGGGTGGCAACATTGCAAAACCCGAGGCATTTATTTGATCAATTTAATGTCATTTTCGATTGCAGACAGACGTACGAAGTGTATCGCAAAGCGGACAAAAGGGAGTTTGAGATAAGGCATACGATCAATGTTTTCGGATCTTTGCAACGCACGTCCATAAGGACGATCTCTACGCTGCAACTTTTCGCGTCAGTAATGATTCTAAATCTATCATTCTTTCGACGCCAATTGTGGTTTTGCACGTACTGACGTTGCTAGCTATGGTGGAGGAATCCAGAATTGGTTACTTTACTGCTTGATCGTCTGTCATATACATCCGCAGAACTTACATGCCGTTCTCGCTGATATGCTGCAATGCGATCTGGGGAAACAAAACGGTGGCTTGTTCCGCAAAATTGTAGGCAAGGTGAAAGAGCGAGGGCACCTTGCGTCCCCGGTGAAATGAGATTATAGTAGACATGTCGATACGAAACAGTACACATGTAAGCGGATGCGGCTATGATAAGGCTGGCATCTTCAACACTGAACGGGCCGAAGAGAGCTCGCACTAACCTGTCAGGAAGCGCACGACTTTGGTGGAAGTTGGGCGTGGCTCGGGACATCCACGACAAGATACGCGGCTGGCCATTGCATCGGTCTTGTTATTCCTGGGCGAGCCGCATGAGTTGGCTGTGCGGAGTTGACTGTGCACCAAACATAGCAGGACGCGGTAGCTCGACGCATAATAAGCCAATGCACCATTTGCATACGATAATCGTGCATTAGCTCAGTTGATGTCATACACTGTCCCATGAGTCTGTGCAGTTTATAGAAACGCATTACTCATGGCTGCTTTGCATCATAGAACCCGCCCGAAGAGATCACAACTGGCTTAATTACTTGTCAAATCGGCTAAATTTGTGTGATCACACCACGGCCCCGTATTTTTGGTGGTAACTAATGTTACGGAGCTCGCCCAATTCGTAGTATTTGTGAGCAGATGTACAAATTTAGTCTGACGGCTATCGATGTAAACAGATTTTCTCTTCTATTTGAGTCGACAGCTAAATCGCAAGTCAGATGCCTCCTTCACTTGGTCGGTCAGATCGAAACATGGTTTGACTTGACAAACTAAAAAAGTAGCTCATTCATGAGCGATATCAAAATATCAGCTCATCAAACATGTCAAGCTTTCCGCGTTGTATTGGAAGAAGAGCATACCAGTACGAAAATACTTGTGTCTCTGCTGGCGCGATAGTTGGCCTGAACGAAATGCAGAAAAAAGATTAGGGGCCTAGTAGCAAAGGAGACAAAGTAGTAGCGTGTTCTTGTGCAAAAGCAGTTGTTGTAGCTGCTGATGGACAGTCTTTCGTTTCTTTTAAATTGATCCTGGCGTTTTGTGCGTAGCGATCTAGCTTATTGAGCGCATAGGTAAACTCGTGACGAATTTGGAGTGTAGAGGTTGCAATTTACACTAGATTTTATACCACCCATCGACTCGCATGCTTTATATGATGCTTACTCTGTGAATAGCTTGCACCTGATATGCTTGGCGGCAAAAAGCTATAAGGAAGTCTGCATGTCGCTTGAGTCAAAGTTAGCACCTGATCCTCCAGCCACGGTACACTCAGAATGGAGAGTGCGGACGGCTGTAGGTGTAGCGGGAATGGTCAGGACAGCGGGGATGGTTATCGGCAAGGCGTCAACGGTCTTGAGCGGGTGGGGGAGGGTGAAGCTCAGTTCATAAATGGCTGGATGTTTTTCATGATGCGTGGACGTGTTGTTGCTCTGATTTGTATACCCTTGCGAAGACTTTGACCCAGCTTCTCCACATCAAAGTTAGTAATGTGGCAAAGTTAATCACCTGACGGTATCTATCTTGAGATGCCCTTCGAAATCAGCCCCATGAAAGCGCTATTTAGAACATGTGTACTGCACGTGATGACTGCATCAAGAGGCGCAGGCAACAGTAAGGTCACGGTCGAAGTGGGGTACCTGCAAAGCACGACCGTACGTTTGTGCGTGCGAGGGCTAAGTAACGCATACGGAGTGGAATATATAGATCTTGTGCCGGACCTTTTGGTCTAAGGTGCAACCTTCGGACTCTCGTTAGAGCTGCAGTTCGATACCTGCGACCAGAGGGTCTTCCTCATTGAATACAACGCAGCAGTGCTGACAAGCTACGCTCAGAGATTGCGATTGGCGCGACATCTTCCTCCGCTTGATGCTCAATTTAGACGGCGCCAGCTTTCTGAAGCATTAGTGCTCAATAAGCTCCCGAGAATTGCAATCGCTGCTAATGCGTTACGTGAAAAACTCGATGCCGCCACGAGATCCCATGTGTGAGAAGAAAGTCGATGGAGTGATTTTCATGATCACAGTAGCCCATCAACGCCGCAGAAGTCAGAAACGACTATGGTAGCTACGGATGTTTGACTTTACTACCAGAACAGAAGAACCCGTGACTGCTGTCTCCAGTCAAGCACAATCACTCGATCAATTCGAACGACTTCACGTTGCTACGATCTGCGACTTCTTTGTAGTGAATCGAGTCGTTGTTGCTGCTGCCTGAACACGTCAGACATCAGTCATCACGCACATCGACGACGTTAGGCCCCACACACACTGCTTTCTTGCTGTAGTCAGGACTACATTATCAGTTAATTCTAAAGCTCCTGCACCATCTCGTGAGCGACTCTCGATCTTCCTCATCCCGTCTACATTCCTCATTCTCGCCTCATATTTCGGCATTTGATTCGCATCGAGCACGTCTACCCCCCCCCCTTGACACACAAAGTCATGCCGAGAGCCGGTATCCTCTCCATCAAAGTGCACCGCCTAGAAGCTGCATCCGAAGAGAACCACAGTATTGCCAAGCCGCACGCGGTGCGCTTTGCAGCGGAAAGTTCCAGCTGCATGTCCAAGTTCTCAAAGCTGGACACAGCAATCGAGGAGTTGTTGCGGCTGTCCATTGCCGAGGCCACCCCCGACGCTAAACTCACGATGACGATCGTGCAGAAGACGAAGAAGAAGAAAAAGATGCTCGTGACGACGGCGCAGCGGCTTTCCGAGTTCTTGCAGACGGATCTAGAACGGAGAATGACCTTCACCTTCGGTCCCACAGCAGCGCCCAGGACCATGATCCTCTACTTCTGCGTGAACTGGGAGCCTCAAGACACGGCGCTGGTCGTAGTGGAAGCTCATCGCCCCTGGTTTATGCGTGCATTGTACTACTACGACACTTCCAAGCGCGTGTATGGCTACACGACGAGCTTCGGCCTCATCGCCCCATTCGCTCGGTTTGGTGAGCAAACGGCTAACTCAGTACTTACTACAGTGAGCGGGAAGACGCTCGAGGACATTGATACGGCGTGGGTGAACCCCAGTCTAGAGACCCTCGATGACCTGGTGGACGCTGGTGTCTCTACGGTCCTTACGAGACTTTATAGCGGCCAACAATATGCCTTGAAGACAAAGGACGAGGCTCTAGAAGCAGCTTCGAACGTGGCAATGAAGACAAGCGAGACAGTGGGCAAGGTCAAGGACTTTGCGACGGACAAGGTCGTGTCCGTCTCATTGTCCACGTACGGCATGGTGAAGGGCTTCACCGTCTCGGTTTTGAGTCGCGTGCCTGTGCTCGGCTCGAGACTTGCGACGTAAGTGGAGCCAAGGCAGATGTCGAAGCTTCGGACAAGCACCAGCATCGAGTATTGATGTGTCAAAGCTGCTCGTTCTGGCGGTTGTGACGTACGTGACGATACATAGTCTTGACCGAACATCTTGGCAGCTGCTCGTGACGAATCAGCTGCTGAATGACATGCTGGGATGAACCGTGTCGACTCAAGTCGGTGAAGATACATGTGACGATAAAAGCTGTTGGTGATGATGATAGTAGCAAGGTAAGGACACGTCCCAAGTTGACAAAGATCGTTGGTGAAGCTTCGATGTTGCATGGTCGATTCTGATGGAGTACAGATCGAGTCATGAAGCGTTATCAAAGCAAACGTTGTCATCGATGCCATCGATGACAACGAAGTTGCCAGTTTATGGCGTCCCTTATCTAGATGAGAGACGCCATAATCTGGAACTTCGACGGTCCTTCGCTCTGTCTGCACGCCTTCCGCTATCATCAAGCAACGAAAAGCATCTACCCATCCAAACAAAACCACAACCTTCGTCAAAACAAACTTCCCTTTGCCTCTTATCTACGTGAACCCAAATCTTTGTCAAAAAGTCGATTCCTTGCAGTCGGAATCCATCCCGCGGTCCTCTCTTCCATTCCCTCGCGGTCCACACACTCGCAATCAATGCCCTCTTCTTCGCCAAGAGAGCCGGCGTCATGTTGGAGGTCGTCGTCCACGTAGTTACATACAATTATCTCGTGCCATGCCTCACCGCAGCGTCGTCCAGCTCCTCCATCCTTCGCACGGTTTGCACCGCTTATAGTCCCTCCTTGTTTCTTCTCTTTCTCTTTCCACACGACGCAACCGGCCAGGCCGCTCACACATTCTTCCCGTTACCGGTGAGGTGACCTACTCTCGGCTCCCCACCTCAAGCCCGTATTTTGGACCCGAGGATCGGTATATGGCTCGCGACCGAGTACGTCACCCCCCGCACCATGCCAAACGTCGACGACGACGCATGTCTCACCTGGGACCCGGTATAATCCGCCACGCCAATGACTCCTCCAACCACTGCCCCCGCGCCTTTGATCGCTGTATTGGCCGTATAACTCGTCACCCCGACCACGGTACTGCCCGTCTTGTGAGCCACCGACGACACCGTCCGCACCGCCTTGTTCTTGGTCCTCACCACCATCTGCTGCCCAGCGTACAACTTGGTAAACGCCACCGAAATCGTCGCGTCCACTTTATTGTCCACCGAATTGAGCACCGGCACCACCAGCGACTGGTCCACGTCCGTCAACGTCTTGCCCGTCACAGTGGCCAGCACCGTATTCACCGTCGCTTCTCCGAGCCGAGCAAATGGCTTCACTACCCGGAAACTCGTCGTGTAGTCGTACACACTCTTGGTCGTGTCGTAGTAGTACGACGCCCGCATGAACCACGGCCGATGCGTCGTCAGCGATTGGCTCGTGGCTGGCGTCCACTGGGCACTGTACGTCACCACAACCGTCCGGGGCGCCTTCACGTCCCCGACGGTAAACGTGATCTGGCGCTGGTCAAAGCCGTGCAGAAACTCCTTGAGCGACCGATTCGAGACGCCAATGGGCGTCGGATGGTCCGGCTGCAGCACTTCAAACGTCACTTGGTCGGCGTCCGACGTCGTCTGCACATTGCTGTACGTAAATGATACAGGGTGGACGATCAGGTACCTAGTTTGAGTGCACCACACAATCAATATGCATTCTTACAGGTGCAACGTCTCGTCGATGGCTTCATCGGCAGACGCGTCATTCGTGTGGACCTCATTGTTGCCCACTCGCAGGCGGACACTGTACTTAGTGTCCGACTTCTCACCGTCGACTGCGAACTTATGGACTGCAATCAGACGGAAAACAACAGCATCGTAAAAGTCAGGATAAACTACTTATCCAGCAATCAAGCTGTCAACCTCTGTACCTACCCGTCACTGCCAGTGTCCCCGACACGGCCATGTTGATGATCTCCCTACTGACGTCGCACTCACTTGAATAAAGCGGGAATGAAGACTTTGTGGAGGCAACGAACGAGCTGTCTTTGGATGAGCGGCACACTGCGCGGGTCTCTTCCCCTCGAGTTCACACTTGACGTTTGTATCCTGAGATGGACACGACTTGACCTCGACTTTGTAGCCACGCAAACGGTGGCAGGCACCCGTTAGAAGCGGGGCAAGGCATCATTAAACGAGGTCAAAACCCCCAAAGCAGCTGCAGGTGGTGTGTCTCACTGTTTTATAGCGCAACGGCCGCTTGATTTCTGCGAAAAGGACGGACGAGAGCAGACAAGACGTGACGATCCGTTTTCTGCGCTGATGACTGGAAAAAGTGGAGCTGTCACTTGACGTCGGGCGCGTCATGTCTGCCGGTTGAGGGACCGAAATGCCACCTGTTGAGGTCGGACACTGCCGTTACGCGACCGTTTTGTCGAGGGATGTTAGGAAAAAGTTTCATGACTTTCTGACAGTTCTTTACATTTTTACCAAGTTTTAACATTATTGCCACGAACTACCACCTTTTCTAGCTTTTAATGTTTTTACTAGTAATTATCGTTTCACCCTACTTTTTATAGTTTTACAGGTATGAGCATGGCTCCATGTAGCAGGTTCTCACCATGAAGAGTGGCCGGACCGAGTGAAAACATCAAATGCGATGAAAAACCATGCCGGAAGGCATTTGCTAGTCACTACGTAGAAGAAAAGAAACACGCATGCACACACCACATTTTTATTGTCTGGTAGGTTGCTGACGAGGTTCTCAGCATAAAAGTTCGCCTCAATACGAGCATATGCGCACGAAAGTGCCATGCTGTTAGCAGAGATATCGCAAATAGTTAGCAGTACAACGCGTAAGACCTGTGCTACATGGACCCTCATGCAAAATTCTTGTGGTTGCAGACCAAGTGAACAGTAATTTTTTTTTTTTTTGTAATTGCACTTGTCGTTGACTCTTCCACAGCCATTTTTACCTTCTCACAGAACGTCCACACTAGTAGATGAGGACGCCCGATGGTGGGTACTTTAGAGCTGCGAATCGCAAAGAATGGGCTAAAATTAATAGCCTTACGAAGAAGGCATGAATACAGTCTTCTGTGGGCCTTCAAGACTGATTGCGTACATGGCAGACCATAGTTCTTACCCGTGCCATGTCTCCTTCTTTTTGTGGGCTAGGTGGTAATGATTGGGCGAAGGACAGTGAATGTAGTTGCAGCGCAACCTCCCTTTTATAACCTTGACTGATTATAATTAATGGTAAAAGTCTGCTTAAAAATGTGGCCTTGTTTTAACGTTTTTACACCGGTAAAAAGTAAAGGTTATCAACAGGGTCTTTTTACCTTACATCCCTGGTTTTGTCACCGTAGCTTACTAGATAAGCGAAGATGGCGTCATCTGTGTGAAGGAGAGAAAAGGGCAAGAGCGTGGCAGAGTCATGGAGAGGAGCTCTTGAACTTGTTATATTCGAAACGGTGTGTGACAGATGTGCTGTTGTCATCAACGCCAAGTGTCCTCTTGCAGTTTTGTTGCCTCACGTGATGCTGGACCTTTCGCCGTTGATGTCAAATAGCCGTACATGGCTGACTCTTGAGGAACAGCAGGTGCACTGGATATAAATCAGGAACAGTGATAGCAACGACGACCACCATGAGGAATCACTTGATTAGCCGCTACAGTTCAAGCGGGGTGGTTCCGTCAAGTAAGTTGCGTGTCCAAGGAGTTGTATCGAGGCACGCGTCAGTGTGTGTTTTTTTACAGCAGTTGAGCACGTCATGAAAGTAGTATTTGACAGCACGATAGCTACGCCGTCTCTAGTAGGCAGGCTTGAACTCAGCAGGATCCTCGAGTTTCTTTGGCACGTGGCTCGACCAAGCTCAATGTAAGTCATCCGAAGTTAAGCAGCGCCACGTGAGAATGTACGTCGTGTGTCTACAAATTAATGGTAGAGCATGTGGCACGAACGAGCCAGCAAATGGTCGCAGGATACTTTGGATACAAACTACACGATTAGGCAAAACAACGCGTGAAACTCGCGACATCCGCTCGCAGAAACGGCTCTTCCAGAATACACGTGTTCAGATGGTAAACAAAAGCGGTCCGAAGTGTACAAGATATCAGGATAGGTTAGCTGCATACTACGTACCACGGACGTTTGGCAGAGGCACGACCGGAAGTGATATCCTTAATCAGTTGCCGCGCAGTGGATGTTGAAGCAGCCGAGTCGGTAACGCGCACGTTGTAGAAGGTAGGAAACGCTTTGGAAACCACTACACGTGGACTCTGACACACAGTCGTTCATTTGTATCCAAAATGCAGCGCGAGAGGGCCGCTATCAATACATTCATGATAACATGAATCACCCAGCGCTTGTCAAAATATGCTAGTGGGTACGGGTCGCACCACCGCGGATAGTCTGCTTGGTTTCATCATGCCGGTTTGTTCGTCTGCACGAATCTGTCGATTGTTCGGGCGTTATTTGTGCAGTAACATAAATAAGTAGAATTTGATGTGTACTAGATATTTTCGCTCAAAGCCAAATTAACACATTTTGTAAAATGATTATTACCATACGACATTTTTGGTACGTCACCAAATTCATAGAAAGTTTGCAAAAGAACACACACCGATAGGTAGGAGCACAAAGAAATGTCGGTACAGGACTTTTATATAAGCGTGAAGACCTCAACAGAAAACTCATTATGGATTTTTGTACGCATCATATCATCCCCTTCGGGCCGCTTCATCCTCTGCTACATCTCAATCTTGTGCGAGTCCGAAGAGTAAAGGTATTAGTGACTGTGCGCAAGGTTAATGTCGAACTTTTTAGATCATAGTTATCCGTGTGTATGTCAGTCTGTGTGTGTGAATAACGCTATGGACCTTACTTGTCGCTTGAAGTAAGATTTAGCCTTCTATCGTCGCTGGTTGCAAATAAGGTTAGGTGTAGATTACATGTCCTACTAAGCTGTGCACGAACAAGAAAACTGTGATTGAAAAAAAGGTGACCTTTCGGTACAAAAAATCTCTCATATAGTCTCAACTGGTCTTCTTCCAGTTTCAATACTAAATCATAGACAACACTTACGATAGGGAGAAATGCGGAGCTTGCTGCATAAATGGTACATCAAATTTGTTGTGGTAGATGTAATAATATCTTTGCGGAGCACACTGCGTTGTTTAAGGCGTACATTTGCATACCACATGACATTTAAGTGTGTCGGTTATCTTTTACATTCACGAGAACGCCTGTTAAGAGTCCACCAACATCCAACTTCGCTAAAAAATGAGTTTTCACGTCATTCCTTGATAGTAAGTGCCCTGGTGTAGCTGATCTACTCTTACTCCTTCATCAGAGATAAATTCAAGACTCGTAGTCTCACGGGGTAGCCCGTTACATTACATTGACACCAAACGGTGTCAATAGGGAGATTGTAACGGGGTGAATCGTTACATTACAATTTATAAGAAATTGTTAATAGAATATAACTATAAGAGTTATATTCTCAGAATATTGTCATAAGGACAATATTCTGTAGCACTTCCAAGTAGTTCCTAATTGGTTGATATAGGCCATTATATCAACCAACGAAGACGCGCCACGACAGACGCACGCAATGAGTGGTGAGCAGATAACTGATTTACACATTTGTATTTAGACATAGTTAGATGAAGATAAATAGTGATTTATTGCAGACATTAACTATTATAAATACAGTTCTACTTTTTACTTTAACCAAGTACTCGCTTCTTCTTACCGTCTTCCTCTGCACGTACGAGTGTACGTGAAGTTACGAGGCACCGCCTTATTCTGTTATCAGAATAAGTAGCTTGTACTGTCACCAGTACAAGCTTCAGGGTGCCCCGTTACACCTGGTAGCACTTCGTAGTCCGTCCAAGGACCGCGTTCACATCCAACATGAATATGTTGGATGATGAAGATGACCAAAGCTTTCACGCTACGCGTGACGGCTACTCCCATTTGAGCGATGTCGAATGGGATGCGGTTGAACGAATGGGTTCGACCATGGGCATCCATGCTGTTAGCGTCATGCTAGAGGCTCTCAATAGAGATGCCCAACATGCTACTATCGCCAAGTTCATTCAAAATGAACTTGACGCAGAACGCGAGAAAGTAGCCTTGCTTCACCAACAAGGTTCTCAACAAGCAGAGTTGTTGAGAGAACAAGGTGCTCAACAGTTTGAACTGTTGAGACAGCAGCAGGCTGCTGCTGGCGGGTCGATGCACTCGCGTCGGCCCGAGACTTTGAAGATTGACATCTCAAAGTATAGGGGGTCGAAGAAGACTCCCTCTTGAGATGGTTCGTCGAATTGGATGACGCCATAAGGGCGCGTCGCATCGACGACGGGGATATGCAAGTTGCATTTGCCCAGTCAAATCTGGCAGGACGTGCCAAGACTTGGGCACTGGGGCTCAAGCTGCACGACCCATATGCGTTTGGGTCGTTGGAAGTCTTCAAGTCGCGGCTCAGACAAACGTTTGAACCGCCTAGAGCTGAGTTCAGAGCTCGAACCGAACTCTTGAAGCTCAAGCAGGGTAAGCGTGATGTGCACGCTTACGCTCAACATATACGACATCTCACGAGTTGTATAAGTTCCAATCCGGTGGATGAACACACGTTGGTTTCGGTGTTCATGCAGGGTCTTGCGGATGGTCCCGTCAAGACTCACCTGTTCCGGCTTGAACTAGATTCACTAGAACAAGCCATTTCAATTGCGGAGCAGGAAGACTTCAGTCTGAGACAGGCTCGCGCCAGCTCGACATCATATCGTCAACCGAGACGATATGACAACGGAGGTCCTGAGCCGATGGAACTCTGTTATGTAGAGAGCGAGAAGGCTCGCTCTACAGGCTACAAGAAGTTGCAGAGATGCAACAGATGTCAAAAGACAGGACACTACGCTTACGAGTGTAGTGCCCCTCGTCCAGTGTCTCGCGACACTGGG